ATTAAGTTGAGCTCATGAAAAAGTGACATCCAATGCTCCCCTAATCAAGTGAAAAAAAAAAACACCTCGGCAAACTTTCACTTCACCCGGAACACCTTTTCAGCAAATTTGCAGAAAAAAATATTTTACTATTAAGCAGAGGAGTTTCTTCCAGAGGAAATAAGACTGCACAGCTTGAGAATGACTGTTACTTTTTAAATAATCATTACAACTCAGCTGTTAATGGCAGACAGGCAGCAGGCAAAACTGAAAGACTTGTGTCACTGAAAGACTGTTTTTCAGTCCCTAGACCCAGTTCGGCAGGCATTCCTCACAATATTATTCTGGGTTTATTCAGCTTTATCTCTTCTCCAGGTTTCATCAGGCTGGGCCTGTGTACTTCTCAGGAAGACTGGGTTCATCACCAGAAAAGGATTCAAATGAAAATGCACGATACTGATGACGATGATTCTGTGTTCCAAGACTGCCAATTTCATAATGCACCTGATACTATAAGAACCCTGCTCGAACTTAATTTTGCCAGCAGCAGGGCAGGACCTGTCATTTGCTTCATAGTATGGTTCTCATTTTGCTGATACCATCTCGAAGGTTCAAGCTAACAGGATACCGTACACTCAATATTATGAGGGCTTCGGGCAGGTAAACCATACGTGTTATTAACGAGGGTTTTCAAAACAGGTTCTTTGTCTGACCAGCATTACATTTCACATGCTTGGACATAAAACTAGATCAAGTACCAAACGGTGCAGAAAATGAAACCTAGCAGTCACTAAAGAGGAAGTGGGACTGTTTGTCGTCAAAAAATATTGCATGCATAAAATGTGGCTCTCATATTTTATCCTCACGACAGGTTTTTATGAAAGACCTGAGGAAATGGAATTGAACCATCAGTAATGGATCAACAGGATACGTAGCCACCATAACAGAAGTTTTACAAAGGCTGGTTCAGTGAAATATGGTGCCAGGTTTCATGGCAAAGAGCCTGATGAAATATGTTTAGACTCAAGCAGCGGCAGCGAATGCATGAATTGGAAAGGGATCAAAGTATAAAGCCAGGTTTGATGAAATGAAAACAGTGCCAGGAGCAAAGAAACCCATCCACAGTTTCATAATTACTGAATTCAACATCTGACTGAGATTAGTCCTCTTTTATTTTTCATTCTCTCGGGCCATATCCCGCATCCCACTGGGAATCTACAATCTACATCTTAAGTGCCTTCTAGTCTACTGAACGGAAACCAACAAGGGTCTTCGGCGGGAAACTTGATATGATGGGGCTCTTCACTAATGCCAAAGATTTGCATTGTCTCCTCCATTAATGTGTTTGTCCCCAATGATTGACTTTGTTCGGCATTTGAAAAATAAACTTGGCCCTGGCTGTGAAAGAAAAGCTGTCTAGCACACACGCAAGGGTCAAGTTTCAGAGGAAACAACGATGTAGTAACATTTCTAAGAGAGTTGGATGTGCATGAAAGATTTTAAGAACTTTATGAGCACCCAGCTTTTATGCGCACCACTCTGACTGAACTTTAAAAAATCCTAGGAATGAAATTTATCTGGGCATTACTTTTTGCCAAAAATGGATAGAAGTTTTCAATCCAACAGCAGAAACATATTACACTAAATTTCATTTCACACGCCCTCAAAACAATACCAAGAAGAGACAACAAGATTCTCTCCATTATTGGTCAAGACACTGGGTAAAATCTCATGAGGACACCTCCCCTCAACGGAACCCCAATCACCCATCACCCTGATCATACACCTAGCCGCACCATGCTGATGTCTAAGGAAAGAGAAGGCACACACACTCACCACAAGAATGTACGGTACATGTACACTATGAACTTGGAGCACAAGGACACCCTCATTGGCAACAAAAAGAGAGGCCAGGGATGATACTTCCATTCCACTGACACCGTGTGACTGAGGCTCCAGCAGAGAGTCTATGGGTTTGCTGCTTGCCAACCGATACTCCAAGTCCTTCATCCATGATCAAATGCAAGCACTTGATAAACCCAAGGGACAATTGCTAATAAAGAAACAAAATGGCCTCTTTTGTTCCCAAATAGTGTCTAAGGATATACAGTGGAATGTTGCTATACCAAACACTGCTATACCAAACATTCAGCTGTACCGAACATCATCCTTGGCTCCCAATATTTTGTGCACAAAACCTACCGAACATTATGCAGTTGCAAATCAACCAAGATTCGCCACAGCATGCATCAGAGATCGATCCTGAGCGGTAGCTTCAAGACTTTTAGGATAAACTAAATATCAATTTTGTAACTCAAGATTTAATAAAAAACAAAAATAATTAACAGATACATTTCTAGAAACCTGAAACGTGAATGCGACGGCAAAACATCGCAAAAACAGCATATCACAGTATCACAAGAGGGTGCACTTCAGTTAGACAATTTCACTATACCGAACAACCGCTGCACCGAACATTTAGCATAGACCCCGTCGTGTTCATTACAGCAATGTTCCACTGTACCTGGCTTTCTGGATTCAGGCTGGTGTTTATAGCTCACAATGACAGTTGTCATCTGCCTGAATGGTGCATAATTAAAGCTTAACCAGGGCTCATTAACAGGCAGTCTGATTGAGTCAATAAGCCACTTGCAAGTTAAATTTGAATAATATCTGGTACATTGTGTTATCTGATTGCAACAATTTGAATTCCCCAGACTAAAGACACTGTTGCTATACCTCGTGATTCGGGTCAAGCTTTTGCATAGCGACCACCATCTCTGGAATTTACTGGTTCCTTTGTGCCGTTCTTATCCATTGAGAACAGTGTATTGTTGCAAGGCGTCTCTTATGTAACTAAGCAAAAGCTTGCCCTGAATCACAAGGTATAGTAACAGTGGTTTTAGTATGGAGAATTGCAGTTATGTTCACGTGAATTTAAAGAACTCAGTATACCAGATTTTATTCAAATTTAACTCGCAAATGGCCTCTTAAGTGCCGATGCCTGTCTGCAGAAAGCCCAAACCCAGCATTAGCTGGTCCAAGAAACAAGATGATCGCAACAGCAATATGACAAGGCTGTTAGGATTGCTGGATGCAGCTAATTTAAATCAAGTCTTCATGTTTTCAAGTTCGGGATAAATGCAAGGGGACAATTGACCCCTTTCCCCTCCAGCTTCCTGGTCCCCCTTCCAACAAAGAATACCCCAATTACTTAGAATGAACGTCACCCCATACATGGTTGTTTTAAATTGAAAATATGACCGATCCTTTTGCAAATGACTTTTCAAGTGGTTAAACACTCAACCAATACAAACAATACACCACTTTTTTCAAGGTTTATATGATCCATAGCTAAATTTCAATATTGGTAAAAATGTCATTTCAGCGGTGCCCTTCCACCAGCTACCGCAATTGAACATACAGCTAACTGCTGTCCATGTATGTGGTAACACTGCCTTGGTAGACTGCATTTGGTAATGCTGCCCTCTGTTGGGCAAAAAAAAAATTAACCCATTACTCTGTACACCAGCCTACTGGAGGCGGAAATTTACAAAGTTATACAATGTATTCGAAACATTTTTTATGATATACACTTGAAATGAATGCTGTCTGTTTCTCCCTATTCAGTGACTTAACTGTCTTTGTTTCTCACACTGCTTTAGTTAATTTTCAAACTTGTACAGCAGCATCATTTAAATAGTGAATCTTTAATACATGGTCTTTTCCTAAAACTAAACCTGCAATACCAGCGATTCACAATAGGGCGCCTCCAAGAGTTCGCAACGCGTTGGCCAATCTCAACGCTCGAAATTTGTCGACCCTTTCTAAACACGCACTGGGTCAACAACTTCTGTGCACTGTGATTGGCCAACGCGTTGCAAACTCTTGGTGGTGCACTATTGTGAAACGGCCATTTCCCCATTCCTAACTGTTACATACTTATTTGTAAATAAAGTTACCACCATTCATGTATCAAGGATTGTTGTTTTGAAGTTTCCTCCATTACAGAGTCAAAGGGATTGATATTTTTTCTCCTGTTAAATAAGTCAAAGTTTTTACATTTTGGGCTTGTGGGATGGCAAACATGTTCATAATATTTTCCTGATTGATTCCATGCCCAAAACGCCCAATGAATTTCCTGGGCAAAAATGATCAAAGCCAAACATGTAGACTGCTCTGATTTGTCATGTTTTAAGATATCATGAATTTGACCAGCTTTACATTCCACGTCACATGGACAACAGATGCAGAATTTTATTCGCATCAAATCATCCACCAGACGGCTGGACACTGAATCAGCATCAGCCACCATTTTGAGCATATGAAACCCACATACGGTGCTGTTCAAAACAGCAAAAAAAAGGAGAAAACAAAATTCCATTCCATACCCCAAAAAAGTCACTTAATCTAAAAAGCAAACGGACAGACACAATTACACTAAATTTTGTTCCATGATGCCCAGTCGCTGAAAAATTGTTGTCTATTATGCGCTTTTTGTGTCCAAGGCTTGTTTTTCTAGAATGACCAAATAAGGTTCTCATGGATAAGCCATTCAAACCTAATGTAATATCCATAACCAACTTTTAGAAAACTATAGAGTGCACTGGTGAATGGCGCCAGTGGAGGAACGATTTTTGAAGAGGGGGCCAATACCCTGCCCCCCCTTCCACCGCCAGTGGTGCATGGTCTATCCACATCTTTATCTTGCATACAAAACATTCAAGGGTGAGTGCAGGGCCCAATTTCACAGCACTACTTACCGTAAACGAAAAATCGGCGAAAATTCTGTGCTTACGGTCAACGTATTTCATGAATTAGCAAAGAATTTTGGCTTGTACACATGGCGTACATCCCGTAACTAAGGATTCTGTGCTTAAATGGTTAGCGCAGACTTTTTTCTGCTAGCCCAGTCAGCGCAGAATGGAGATCGTAAGCATGAAATTCTGCCGTAAGCAGCACCATAAAATTGGGCCCAGTAAGCAAGAGACTGACTGGAAAATAACATAATCAGTACTTACCTGGAGCACTTGAAACAAGCATTATGGTAGACACTATCCTTGATGCTTATTTCCTCTCCCAAATTCACATTTAGTCCACAAGCCCTGCAGACACCATAGTAGTCAGCCCCCCTGGAGTTATTCCCATTTTTCTTCTTGGCTGCCCCTTTCTCTGCATTCAGCGACTCCCTGGATAGCATGCGTCTCAGCCCCTGCAGGGCACCCTTGGAGGAAGGCCTGACGGGGCCTTTTGAGGGGACGCCACCAGCAGGTTGGGCTTTGGGGATGCCACTGTAGCCATAACGGGAGCGCGATTCCGCCGTAGGCTCCCGCTTGGGGGACGAGTCTGAGTAGCTGCGGATCTTGGCGGATTTGAACTTCCGGGTGACCAGGGGGCTCTTCTTGGTGAAGCCCCAGAGTTTGCTGCCAATGCCCGGCTGTTTGGGCTGCAAGGAAGGATTGTCCAGCAGCGGTTCGCCTCCTGTCTCCCAAGATTTGGTGCGCTTGTAGCGATTGGGGAGCGAGGCAGCCTGCTTCGGTGCTCCTATTTCAGTCAGTTCAGTCCTACCGGTGTACTGGGACATCTGGCTGAGGTAACGGGCAAATCCCGAGCTGCTTTCACACTTACTGATGCCGTTGTAAGTGCCGTCTGCCTTTAGGGTCCCCTTGTCAACATCCTCTTCATCACTGCTGCTGCTGGCACTGCTGTCTCCTTTACCACGGTAAGTATCAGCGACATTCTCCAAGCTCAGCGATTTGGATATGTGATTTGATTTTAGGGTGGTATACTGGACAACTCCACGCCTCTTGTTGCTGGGACGTGGGGATGGGATATACCTCTTCACACTAGACTTTTTGGGCTGTGATTTGAGCTGACTTGGTCCCTTTTCAGTTGAGATAAGATTCTCCTTAGAGCCAGACAGAAGTTCTGAAGACCCACCATCCCAACTGCTCATTAATGGATACTCTCCACCCGCACAGTCAAAAGCACTAGACTGCACAGAGTCTTCATATTTTTGATGGGAGGCTGCAGGTGACTTCAAAGAGCTGACTGATCCTCTCGGGGACATAGATGAGACAAGACTTCCCAGTGATGAAGAAACAGGTATTTTGGAAAGAAACAGGCTCTCCTTTTTGGATGGCACATCCACGGGAGTTGCAGGCGCTGACTGCGTCTCTTCAGCTGAGAACATGAAGGCAGCATTGGTAAATCTGATTGGTTTCACTGGTGTCCTGGATGCATTACTGTGAGCAGATAGAGGAAGGGCTTTATGGACTGGGATTTTTGATGTAATTGAACTTTTACTGCCACTTGAGTCGTGGCTGGGACTTTCAGCCCTGGCGGCTTTACGTTGTGTCAGTGATGAAAACTCAGTACTTTTAGACTTGGGTATCTGAGGTCTTGTACAATGTGATTTCTGGATGCTGCTGCATCGTTCCTCTGCTGAAAGTTTGCGGCTGTTGGCTACAGCTGGGAGATGGATGCTGGTTGTGCTTTGTGGCACGACAGCTGGTTCAGAGACCTGGCGATAAAACGCAGTGGTCTTGTAACTCATCGATGCTGACGGCGTCAACGGGTCAGGGCTGGAGCTCGAGTTGGATGAGCTGCTGGAACTCGAGAGCTTTCGTGGTCTAGATGAGACACGAGCTGAGACAGCTCTATTGGACCAAGGGCTAACCGATGCCTCACCACTTTGCTCTTTGTTACTCACTGGGTATTTCTTCCTCAGTGGTTGATCGACGTCGGGTGTTTCTCCTCTTGTATTTCTTCTGTCACCTTCTACGGCTGGCATCCCACAAGGGGCTGAATCAAACCTCATATACTCATGCACTTTTGGTCTGGGTTGAGAGGCAACACTGCCTCCTTGAGGTGAGGTGCTCCCTGAGGGTGAAGACTGGACATCACTAAAGATCATCTTCCGCGGTGGCTTTGGGGGTGGGGCAGTTTTCCCAAAAGTGGGTGCACTCATCTGCCGGCGTATTTCCATGTGCCTCCTTACGGGCGCATCATGCTGACCCTGTGAGCCATGAGAGGGGTCCTTTGCATAATAGGGTGTTTGTAGAACCTCAGCTCGGCCCGAGGGTCGATTCGTAAACTTGAAGGCGTCACGAGGGATATCTATTGACGCCCGCCGTAGGTTGTAGGCATACTGGCTACTCCTGTTGGCAGCTCCTCCTGTACTGGCGCGCATGTGACGGGACATCTCAGCTATGCACTTAGCCATTGTCTCCCCTTCCACAGCCTCCTCAAAGCTGGGCAAACTCACCAGCCCCTTAGGGTGTTTTTTGGTCTTTGGTTCCTGAGGATTCCCGGATTTCCCCACCCTGTCAGAACTGACATGGGAATTTTTAACCCCGGACCAACAAGTTGCACCACCGGGGGGTTGAGTGTTTGGGCTCTCCCCATCGTAACCTCTTTTGGTATTTTTCGCTATGCTGCCCTTGTCCTGCGGTTCTGTTTTGTCAACTGGAGACAAAACACTGGAGCCCTTCCGCCTGAGGGACTCTGGTGTGGCCGGCTCAGCAAACATCTTCTGTGGAGTGGTGAGCTTTGACCGGTTAGCGGCCATTATGGCACCTGGCGCTGTGTACGTCATGGAGGAGATTGTCTGGAAGCGGGGGTCATCTTGACTGTTTGCAAATGGGGCATTCATTGTGATGGCCAGCTGTGTCCTGCGGACAAGTGTACTTGTACTTCTCAGATCACGGAGAGCAACTTCACACCAAGTGCCGAAGCCGAACAAATATCTGAAACAAGACCAAAACAATAATATTCATTCATTAATTTTCATGGGCTGCATGTTCAGGTGAACAAAATTATTACAACCAGAGGTTCAAAAGCTACAAGAGCAAAGAAGCCAATCAAAAAAAAACTTTGTTTTGAAAGGCCTCATATATATCCTTCATCCTTTTGACAATCCACAAATCAAAATATTCAGTATACAAGTACTCACAAGGCCTAACATCCAGGTTGTTACAACTCCTGAAAAGCCCTGATGAGTTTCCAGTTCAAAGTCAAAATGAGGTTCAATTTGTTTTTTAAGTTACGGTTAATCATTTGCTACTGTGGACAAGAGAGGATCCATTGCTTTTGAAACGTAGGTTAGAGTCAATCATCCAAAATACCATGACTCTCATACAAATTTCACCTGGAGGGAAACTCAGGTTGAGAATGCTTTTACAAGTCCTCTCCTTTCAACGTAAACACATGATATCATTCAATGAACACTATACATGTCTGGAGTAGGCTCTGTTCGGGAATGGCATGTCAGGGATGACACAGAGAAAGGATGCAGATGGATCCAGCTCAGCCTGATCCTGTCACGTAGGAATGCCAGCGGTTGTCTGATGCCTACCCATTAAACAGATGATGCATCAAACTGCCACACGAATGCACGGAGGAACATACACCTCAGTGGACCAAAGGGTGTCATTTTTATGTCATTTTCTAGACAGTTTTCATAATCAGAATGCTTGTGACTGTCAATCAATTCTGAGGTTAGAATGCAGTGGTGAGATCCAAGTTGTAACATGATGGATCAATAAGGCAACAAGAGGACTTCACATAAGCATAAGCTTCCAGGTTGTCCTCAAAGGTGTCTGCAGAAGATGATTATGCTGAATTAGCGGGATGATGTCTCTGCGGGGGACATAAATAGCTGGGCTGGGCCACTTGCATAGGCAAAATTCCAATCTACTCTGCGCACATTTGGTGATGCTTCCATCCTCTTAACATTACCAATCATTTGTTGGTTCTTAAAATTTTTTTCAGCTAAGAAACAAGTAGGGAACTGACTGACAATTTCAACCATCCCTTGGAAAAAAAGTTAACAAATTGTTACACATTTTGGTTGGAAAACCGTCGATAGTCAGTTCCCATCATCTACTCAAAATTTAATTCAAATTGCAAAAAATGACAAACAGAAACTGGTCGTTGGAAGAAAGCCAGAAACAACAATTTAATTCTTTGTCTGACAGGTATATACATGCACATGTTCATCATAAACACAAGGCACATTTCATGCACATTGTATTGACAGATGATGACATAAGTGGGCCAATGATTCGTATGCAAAAATTTCAGCCCTAGCAGAGCAAATCATCATGCCGTTTGTTCCTCACACATGTAAGTAAAACCCTCAGATCTCGGCATCAGGCTGACGAAGGGCAGGACCAATGCTACATTTTGCCCAACCAATGCAAGACTCTCCCTGGTCACAAATCATCATTCAGCAGGCTACAAATTATTCATGTGAGAAAACCATCGCACTGCAAGAGCAAAAACCTCAATATCCTCAGGTTATCTTTTTATGCACGCTTCCATTAACCTCCTCGGCATCTACCTAAGAAAATCTGACGTCAAGATGGAATTCCACCCGCTGAGATCCTCCCAAAATTCTTGCTTGATGGATGCAAGCAGAGAAATTAAAAGGACCAAAGAATTACTCCCCCCCAAAAAAAAAATCAACAGCCCAAAGTGCTTCAATGTTAATCACTCAAAAAATATGGAAGAGAAGACTGTAAGACGACACGTAAGAATGAAAACTGCTGGCACTAGGGACAGACAACATCTGTTGTCACTTTATATATTCTCTTCTTAGCAGGGTCCACAAATATTGCCTCCTGACTATGTATATATAAAAATGGGGCAAAGATAAGCCAATTAAACTTGGATAATGACCAGGGAAGAGAAGTTATTGACATGATAAACTGAAGGGAAGAGGTTGATCTATTAGGCCGAGTGGTGATGGAATTCACAATAATTACCGAATGACTAGTTGCTGAATTATTGCACGCAACTGGGACAGGAATCATCCGTGGGAATGCGGAAAATTGCAAGAGGGAATAACAATGTTACCCTGCTCGTAAAACTTTGAAATGTCTATGACTTGGTCTGTGCACCGTCATTCCCTTGATAGTGAAGATGGAAGTAATTGCTAGTAAAAAAGGGGCAAATATGGTATGCTATTGGTTACACCTCCTTGCCAAGGAAACTGTGAAGGGGTACATCCTCACAGCCAGTTAATGTCGGACTTTCTCACACGAAAAAGCTGCCAGGGGCGACTTTGTCCCGAAAACGTTGAAATTGCAATTTATTTATGACGCAGCCAAGCACGATGCATTAATACGTTAAAAGCGCAGAAATGAAAAAAGTCATCTTAAACGAGTGTACATGTCCTCTGTAAGGAAAATTGTGTGTGTTTACACGTCACCCGGCGTCAAGTGGTTAAATGTTTTATTCGGTATGGATACCTTCTTCTCAATGATTAGTTTCTCGCAGGATTACGATTGCTATTAAAATCTGAAGTCAAATGTAAATAATTTTGCTTTTCCCCAGCAAAGTGCCCCGCATTACACAACCATGATACGCCGTGGGCAATGAAACAGCTATAGTAGAAGTTATTTTGGAGGCACTCATTGGATGTAAAACATTTTTGGTTTATTCTTATCTGTAGCTGAACATGACAAGTTCCATTTTATTTTCAGAAAAGATGACAAAAGCCCAAACCAAATTCTAAGATCTGAATCTGAAAATTACACAAAATTTAACTATGTTCTGAGATTTATGCAGTTCACTTACAAACCTTCTAGCCAATTTGGAAGAAAAAAAATGAAATTCATAAAACATGCAACATTTCTGTGAAGCTAATCAAATTATATACTCACAAACAATCCCTTAGATGAGAGTTGAAAAGAACATTTTTAACATTACCTTGCCAAAATCCATCAACACACATCAGCCCTCCACTAAAGTCACCTCTATTTTCAGTCAAGGGTTGTCCCTGAAGATGCACAGTCAAGACAGATCCACACAGCTTGAAGATAGTGAATTTACGCAAAGACTAGCCCTTTGAGAGTGACGTACTCCACTTGTCATGCTTCAAAGTGTGCATCTCTGGACTCTGCCAGCCCACCCTAGCCTCAACAAATCACTACAAATGTGCCTCATCAGAGTTTTGTCCCACCTCGACCAATCAGAAGCTAAAAATAGACCCTTACCACCACACTGTCATCTCCATTGAAGTTTTTTCTCCTCTCTCTGGATGGGACTTCTCTCGTCTGCAGCAATGTGGAGTGGAATTCCTCAGCGATGCAGCAGCCCGGCTCCTTGCGATCCCAAGACGTTCTGGCAGACATTAGAGGTCCCCTCCAGACTGCAAGCTGGGAGTGAACAAGACACGTCACCATCAATCACAAAACATGCACTCAAGATGTTTTAAAGACGCAAGTGCGATAGGGTTAACACTTCCAAGAGCAACGACCCAAGAAGAGTTTTACTGTATGTGTTCAAACTTTGCTGAAGTGTGACGAATGTGTTACTGCAAAAGTCACCAATTTTTACAAACTGGGGAAATGATTCCTGTCAGCAATGCTGCTGGAAGATCAGGATTAAGGCCACATGAAAAACTTAGCGATTGAACTATCTGTATTCCAACATGCACCTGTTAGCATGACAATTTCCTGCCACTTCAGATAACAATGTCACTGTGTGTTCCAGGGACAGCCTTGCAACGTTTAAAGTTGACAGCAGTTACATCGCTCAGATTTAACACAAGTTCAAACATGTCCATGTGGAAACATCAAAGTTACATCACAATGGAAGAAACAACATTGTACTTCACTGCATTAAATTTGCCAAGGTTTGGGATGAACAGTGCAATATGTCTTTGGGTGACAAATTTCCTCATATTAGAACTGGATCAGGCTTTGAACAGAACCAGGAAGTAATCTGCAAATTAAGTAACAGCTGTGCTCGATCTGAAAAAGAAAGTGATTCAGAACAGGCCAGCCACATAAGCTGCAATTCAAGACAAAAGGGAAGTTCCAAAAACAAAAGTAAAATAGTTCAACACTTTTTTTACACGTACGCACAAATTGTTATGATTAAAGCTGATCATCAAACGTGATTCATTCATTGCATGCAAATAACTCATGCAAATAACAAAATAACATACAACAGACATGACATGTGTGATAAAAAAACAGCTTTAATTCCTGGTAAGAGTTCCAAATACACAGTTCTTATAATAATAACAGCTGTTTGAGCATGGGGTAAATTGGGTACGAGACACTAAAGTCATCATAATCATGTATTTAACCAATTAAAGCATTTGCATGCACTATGAAACTTATACCCCAACAGACAAAATGGCTGAAATGTATTTTATCAGTTCTCAGTCAATTATCATGTGAGCAGCTCTCAGCTAATGAAATTTCACACATAACCACGCTCTGTCTGACTGGATTCTACAGAATTTAAAACTTGATCCACCTGCAGGTGGTAATATACATCTAACTCTATAGGAGTATACACCTAACATGGTTATCAGTCATGGCACGTGCATGCAACACTGTCCATATAACTCATCTATCATGATCAACTTTACCTGTGTTGTCTCCCAGAGCCTAACATGGAAAAGACTGCCCACTAGTCAGCTCATACCTCTCCCTACCATCTGTGTATATTTCCAGGTAAACAAACGCGCCCCTACTCTCATCTGTTTGGAGTGGTATGGCATCCCTCGTCAAGTGAGTGAATATGGGCAAGAATGTGCCAATGTGGCAGTGAATCCTGTGTCATTGCTCATAAAAGTTTATTATCGTGAAAGACCTCCGTGACAGAAATTTCTAGGACAAGGTTGGTTATGCTGAGCACCGGCAGACAAATTTTGTTGCAGCAGTGAATGGAATATTCTGTCAGGGACCAGAAGTCACCAGAGCTGCTCGATATGTGACCGGATCCAACAAAAACAAGTCCAAAGGCTACTTTTGTCATTTTGTTTTGAATCGCGTTAATTAATTGCAGACTGAGCTCTCTGGTTTGACGCATCACCCAGCTTATTATCTTAATCAAAATAATAAGTGTAAAATGTTGAGGGTAGTTTGTATTGACTCTAGCCACATTTGTTAGTTAGATCACAAACAATCTTTACTAGTTCTAGAGCGATGTTTTGACTTTAAAATGTTCATACTGTTTCATTATGAAATTATAACACAGCAAAATGTTATGATTTTTGTCGATAGTTTTCTCCGGAAAAAGGTCGGTTTTGTAAGCATTTACATTTACTATGTAGGAAAGGATGTGGATGTGGCAGAAATCAGTATGCCAAACTTCAACCAACATAAAGGTTACATACATCCATGTCTGTTGGTCATACATGTACATGTAAGTTCGGTCTTCTTTTAATATTCCAGCCTTGGTCTCTTGTCAATTGAATTGTGTCACAGCTGCTCTGCATATAAAGTCCACAATATTAAATAAACTATAATTTCTACAAATGTACACATGCATGTACACAAATGCCGAGGCTCCAAACACCATTTGGTACAAACTTGCTAAACAATGCAAATAATGATTGCGTACTTAGTAAATTTAAACAGCCTCCCACTAAGTTTAGCAGAGCCACTCATACAAGGAAGTACATTCACATGCATTCCCACTGAAAATAAGCACCAGAAATCTGTCCCTCTTCGCCAGGAGAATTCAACATACCAAGACTTATAGTCCACAACTCTGAACCCGATTATTTTATCCTATTAAAGTCTATCAGCACCACCTGTAGCTTCCTGTGATCTTAGACAGGTGTGGATCTGACTTGGACATGGATTAAACTTCACAGACTTTTGATTACTCTTTTCATATCCACATCATGACCGAGAATGGTTTAAAACCATGCAGGAAGCATCTTAGTCTGATCTTGATAAATTGAACCATGATCTGCACAGGATATGAATTAAGGAGTTTGACGAACTAAAGATTCTGGACAATCAGACAAGTCCTCCACTTCCAATACTGATATCATACCTATACAGAAAGTTACAGAAATCTTGCATAAAGGACCAACTTTATGGGAGAAACTAAAATTAGCCCCTAAAGGACATCAATGATCATAATCCTTGCCTTTTGGCAACTCAGAATAGAAGCAGTGTTGTAGTCGAGACCATCATAAGACCAGACACAAGCAGTGGCATAGCGGGGGGGGTGGACCTGGGGCCCCCCACACAAATTCCCGGTGCCTGCAGGTGCCCCTCCCCCCAACTGAAAAATGGAGGAATAGATATTAAACGAGGCTAACAAAAACTTGCCCCCCAAAAACACACCCCTGAAAGCTGGTGCCCCCCCCATAAGATGCTGGTGCCCCTTTGTGAACCCCTCACCAGTAAAATCCGGACACAAGACCAGTCACAAGTAACTGTGTGATCAGTGACAAAGGAATGCTTTTGTTGTAATTCATTTGAATAGCTTATGATTTGAATTCAGACTGGAAGTCTGGTGTTGGTCTTGTGCTGGTCTCATGTGGTCTTGTGATGGTCTGAAGTGGTCTCGACTACAACACTGAACAGAAGTGATATTCCTTTGAAATACAGAGCACCATTCCTATTCCACAGTCACTTACACAACATGCCAAAGCTAAGACACAAAGAATTATCTGCAGCAACCAAACACGGCTACTGTACCCCATGTTATTATTTTTTCGGTATTAAATGACAGCAGACTGGGAATGTTATCAAAACAATAAAGTTGACTTTGAGGTTTCGGTGACCAAGGAGCTCATGATGATGGTGCTGGTACCATCAGAAACTTAAAGGTTGATGATTCAGGGCGATTAATGAGGATGGCCATGGATGATCATATGGATGATCATGACATGCTTGAACGGCCTTGTGCTAGACTACATACATGAATAAGTATTTTAAGAACTAGATTATATTTTAATGAAGTTGTTCCTGTGTACTTTTACATGTATTACACGTAGCTTTCATTCCTTTGCCCACAAATTTCAATCCAAATTTCAAATCCAAAACAGACCGTACTTGTAATTCATTAGTTTTAGGAATACTTTTTTTGGCTCAATTTATATATTTACTGGGTAATAGTACTATTCATTTTGCACCGTTTTCGGGAATCTGATGACTTTATGATACATGTACATACACGGTTGGTTCAATGCAGTATTTTAACTTGATATTTGATCATGAAATGAGGAATATGACTTCTACCAAAGCAATGCTGATATGTATCAGGAAGAACCTCACAAAGATCACACAAAAGAAAAATATGATAATATAATATCCTAAGAGAAAGTGATGTCCATACAATTCATGTATTCTTGTTCTGTAGTTGCGGTCTTTATACTGGTGCTAGTTGATCGACAGTTATTTTAAGGAGACACAAAAGTCTCAACAACTATATGATGATGCAAGTTCAACCTTTCCAAACTGTCACCTCACCATAACTGTACCAATCAGGGCACTGAATTTCTCCAGAAGGCTGTCAAGCTCCCTAATTGCAATCGTTAGAAAGTCAGGAATGCGGACAATTCAAGAAAATAAACCTACACTAAACATGTCAGGCAATATACACGGACGACCAAAAGTCTCTCACAGGATCGACTGCACGCCCATCTATTACTGAGTGTTGGCAGACCTAAATATGAAGAGTCAGCTTCAACAGTGTGGCAATATATCACCATGAACTGTAAGCCTTATTTGGCTGTTTACTTAGCTTCCGGAAGAAATGAGCCATTTATCAGTCCCTGCAATAGAACACCCGTAAACAGTTTAACAGTATCCGTAGAAACGACAGCATGCTGTCCAAACTTGATCTGCGGCATCACCTTACTTTTCCTGTTTTGGAGTCAAATTATTATTGCCCCCCCCCCAAAATTAAAAAGCGAACATCGAAGGCTGATCAAGTTTCAAGCAATAAAACAGCAATGACCAGCTTTACAGCATGAAATATGCTAAGCAAACTTCCGTAGCCATATTTTGTGGTGAAAACTGCACTTGAAGAGTACAGCAATTCAGGTTACAGTAAAAAAACAAGATGACATAGTCATCACACTATACACATGTTGTCTCCACTGGCTGCATTTTTCCCATCGTGCAATTTTTCAGATGCTTAGCAGGAAGACTAGAACAAAAATGAAACTTGGCACTCTATTTAGTTTGCCGACTGTTTAATTATTGGAACCACAAAGGGAAAAGAAAGCAGTAAAGGCCATTACAATTCATATTTATCAAGGCAAGATATCTCATAAACTGCACCAAACATATTTCACTTTTGTTTCTCGTCCCTACATTCTTTGTTTTTCAGGATAGCATTAAGTCTACATGACCAATTATCACAGAAGTGCTAATTTTTCCTTTCATCCTGCATATTTTAAACCCTTTACGAACTGATGCAAGCGATGCCCCGCATACTTTGCGAGTCCCATAAGTGTCTTGCAATGGAGAAAATGTGGAACAAGTGTGGTTTTTAACAATGCCTTCCTCAATAGACATTATTCATAGGGAAGCAATTTTTTATCATGTTCCCTGAATCTGTCTTATTCAATGTAATTTCCTAAGTGGGATGGTGCCAGACTACTTTGGGTTCCATGCCTCACTTTCAGTTTTTGTTAGATGAGGCTGAAAATGTTTAGATATGATTAATCAAATATGCTTAATTATTCATCAGTGTAAATTGCCTTAATTTGTGACAAAGTTTATTTCACTACTTTAAGTTTTATTCTCCGGTTCCCAATATAAAATATAATATAAAAATATTCATTTTGTGAATAAGGCCAATTACATTACAATGAAGAGAAACTTACCAAACTTCTATAGTCACAATGGGGGAGGGCCCAACACAACCCACAACCCAACAATATGAGGACACGTGGGTCACTAGGCCCAGATGGTAAACGGCTGAAAAAATAACGATAGGGGAAGGAAAATACAAATAATATCAATGGCAGGAAGTGATAGTCAGTCTGAA